CCCAAGTGAAATTTCAATCATCAAACAAGGAGGAATAGTATAGTAATGTCAGAGTGTGATGTGGTATGTGTTACAAATTACAGTTATTTGTGATTAAGTAACACAATCTCACACACAGTGAGGTTCATTGGTACAAAAGGTCCGATTCTTTTAGCTTGTATCCCTTCCTTTGAAACAGAAACCCTGGATTTGAGTAAACTGTTACATATGGTACATAACAGGTTACTCAATGTTAACATAACATTGTTTTTAGGTTAACAAGTTACCTGTATGGTAAGGCGAATCACAACTGACACGTAAGACAAGTTTCTGAAGGTTTCTAAAGTGCTCGGTTCTCTAAAACATTTTGCACAAACTAAATCTACCATATCGAAAGGATTCAGACAAAAAGTGACCACACCATCAAAAGTTTAATACATCAACTTTGTTTGCTGAGTGAAAGAAAAGCAACTTCAGCACAGGCGCAGAATGAACTAAAACCTTCAGGGAGGTTTACAGATTTACAGTTTTATGGAAAGGACCTACTTGGTGTTGAAATAAAATTAAAGACTGTTGTGAGGGCACTTGACAGCTGAAAAAGCCTTTTTATTAATGTTCTGATGTTCTGAGTTTTTATCGCTTTTCACTGACTTTAATAACAATTAAAGGAAAACTGTATTTGTAATCCTAAAAAGAATCCATGTTGGTAATGCATGGACTTCAGTGGAAAACACATACTCAGTAGTTACGTGGTGGCATTTGCCTTTACAGATTACCAAGATGGAGATACCCTTCAAACAGATAATGAAATGCTACAAGTCACAGCCACGTGCCAACAAAAGTGTAAGTTTCTTTATTTTTGGTTTTTATTTTTTGCTGTCTTTAGTATACAGCTGTGAATTAACAAAATATAGCGATACAGGTTGAAACGTGTATCAGCTGGGCCCACTTATTCCAAGATTCCATCAGTTTTAGCGACATTCTGTTTTGTGTTTATCATCAAATGTTTTAATGTTAACAGGTACATTTTTTAAATAACTGTGACAATATCATTATACCTGCTTTACATGAGCATTTCAGTCTTGCAAGGAGGTTTGCAGGTTGACAATAGCAACTCAAAGCACTTGTTTCAGCATTTACCGTTTCTATCTGCAGGTCTGCAAAAACGTGCTGATTTCAGAAAGGATGGAGGAAAATTCTACCATTAAAAAAATCAGTAAGAAAGCTTTTAAATAAAAAAAGGCATATATTTTAAATATTATGGAACACCTGTTTTAAAAAACACACTTACAAAATAGCCTTGTAATTACAGTAATGTACATAATGCGTCCCAATAAGTATGGAAAATTGGACTACACATTGCCCTCACTGCCATCGTAGCTTTATATGTGTAATGCATGCTCACATGCTTGCAATCCACTGTGGGCAAAGAAATGCGCATGTGTTGTTAGCTGGCTATGTGGCTTGGAAACAGTGGCACTGGTGGTGGTAGAGTTAAAGAAAACGAATGCAGCATGTGTTGTGTTAAATCCAAATAAAGTACTATACAGAGGTAGAACTCATAGCAATGCCTCATTGCACAAGAAAAATGACACCCATCAAGTTATCAAATGATTCACTTACAACATTTTACCTGCATTATATCCATTATCCAAGAGTAGTTCCACAGTGATAAGTAACTTTTTATTATATTGTTGATTATAGATAATGGAAAGCACAGCAGCACTATCCTAACCCCCAACACACCATCAACACATTATCCAAGACCTGGGCAGGAGGAGCGGGGCAATCTCATCCATTTTTACAACCAGGTCTACACGACAAAGATGCAGCATTTTGCCAAACAGTTTGCTCAAACCTCATTAGTAAGTGAACATTTTTTCTTTTTTCTGAGCTGATGTCACAAAACAAAGAAGTCAGTAAAAATGGGAAATGTTTATTTTCCATGTAATGCTTACACTTTATTTCTTGTCCAGCGAGACACCCCTCCTTTGTCTCCATACCCTCGACAGTGGAAAGCATCTCCTCGCTGTTATCAGCTGTCCAACAGCCCGTCCATCTCCATTTCACCATACAACACAGAAACCCCTTCCCCTCACAGAACTGGGCTCTGCTACTACTTCAACTCAAGTCCTCCAGAGGTGTGTGGATATAGTGTTTTCGTTTTCACATGATCGTCTTAAAGAATTTTGTGTGTTGGGGTACAATCTAGGCTGAATACATTCTACATTCCTATTTTGGAAATGATTTAGTGAATAAAAATGGTTGACTTTGCTCGCACACAGTAGAATATTATTTTCCTTTTTTTCACAGCTTCTGCGTGAGATCAACAACATGATCAAAACGGGGAGGTCACCAAACATGCGATGCTACGCGGTATCACTGGATAGAGATGAGGAAGGAGATGGATCCTCAGCCAAGAGGCTTCGTTTGGATGGGCAGTCAGCCTGGCAGAGACGACTGAGAAATGTGTTCAATGATCGCATTACAAGAATGAACCAGGACCAGGTCTAGCTTATTCCAGCTAACAGGCCTAACCTCCACTCCGATGGAAGTAAAGCACACATTTACTTTTTGACAAATTCTCTGTCAGCTCAAAGTACTAAATTTCCGTTGCTTGGCTCTTTTGTTTGGAACCATTTTTTCTGATACCAATAGTCATGTGTGAAGGTCTGTGAATGAGCCACTTTATCCCCAGCACAGTAATAGAAGACTGGTCATCCTGGGTTGCTGCCTGATGGAAGTGTCCTTCATGATATTGTATGAATTTAAAGAAAGACAAGGCTGCAAAGTGCCCAGTGAGTTTTTCTTAAATAAAAAAAAAAAGGACCGGGACAGGACTTTAGCAACTAAAAGGCAGATTAGTTAGTGTTTGTCTGCATCCACAGGAATTAATATTTACAGTAATATGAAAACATAAATGTATCCACAAATGCATCCAATAGACATTTGGGCAAAAATGGGTTTTTTTCTGCACAAATTTAACAATTCTGTTAAAAAAAAAGTGTAACTTAGGCCTCTGAAGCTAATATAACAAAACAAAATTTTGATTTAGTCATTTTTGCATAATTAGACTACATTTATATAATTATAGTTCGTTATCTTAATGACTTAAATCTCACATAATAATAATAACATGGTACCTTTACATGTATGCAAAATGTTTTATTTATTTTAAATGTTTCAATGAACTTTTTAAACTCAATTTTTGGTGGATTTCCCAGCATGCTCATTATGTCCTGTTGAAAGATTTCAACTCAAGGTTATCTTAAAGTATATTTTAAATTTTATTCTCACTTCATAGTTGTATGACTGCAAATTGCCAGGTCCCAGAGGCAGCAAAGCATTCCCATAACCATAATATACCCACACATGTACTGTTATCATGGCTGAACAACTCTGTGTTAGATGTGCATTAGTAGCCTTGGTCTTTGCCTTTATGTTAACTGTAAAACTACAGCTTTGCTGTTTTGGGCATTCCTGTTATGCAGGTCAAGTTTTTGCACTGTTTACAACACAAAGAGTTGACCGCAGATCCTCTGATGAAAGCTTGGGGTCTTTGGAGACTTGCATAATTTGCTGAGGCAACCCATTATGGACAATTTGGCAGCTATTTTTTTTTTTTTTTAAATTTAGCTTAATTTAGCTACAAGATTTTTTTTAGATGATTTGCAGAATTATTGATTTTAAATTAACTGGGGAACACCAAACCCTGAATGTCTGAGGTTAAAATAAGACTTATTACTCTCTAATAACTGACACCATATTTGAAGGCTCTGTGTAATTAATTTGAGGATGTACTCATTTGTTCTCACTAGACTGATCTGATTTATGTTTGACTTACTTTTGGAATTTTCAGTGTACATACTAACATTAACTCCTGTCTATGACCTGCATGAATACTGAAGTTTGAAGTGATTTGATTCTGACTGCATATTGGTGATACTAGGGGTTTTATGCATACCACTCTAAATTAATTTAAAGTTGTTTTTACATTCAACTTATCGCAAAACTATTGAGGATAAACTAAAGTAAGACTTTTGCAAAAATAATAAATGAAAAGTGCTGTTACAGTAGCAGAAACTTGCACTGGTCAACATAAATGTAGAAGCTAAAACAAATTCAGTCTCAATAAATCTTTAAAAATCCTGTCAGCAGTTTTAGCCACCGTTTATTACAGACTGAGTATCACAGCTGATTCAACAGCACATCAATCAAAAACTGCACGGTGATTTTATTAAAGCTCTTTTCCAAACAGAAAAGTGTTTTGCTTTTGAGATTTATTGCGCAGAATGATACATGTGTCAGTTGACAGAAGTTGGCTTCATTATCATTTGCTGATGCAACAAAGTTTCTTTAAATCTAAGTTTAACAATAAGGAGGTATTGCCGAGCTTTTGAAGACACGTGACCACTAACCACAAGATTTTAACTTGATGACAATTAATAATGTGGGATCAAGTGAACCCCCCAGCAAACAACCCATCATGAAGGGGGAAAATGAGCAGTCCTCAGCTGATTGCGAATGGTTGGAGGTTAGTGGCAGTCGCTGGGAAAATGATTGCTAATATCCCAGTCATGCAGGCCTACGGATTAGTCAGTGACATCCCGTCAACTACCTGTTGCTAGGAAAAATGTCTATTTCCCAACCAGTTCAGTGCAGCGCCTTCTTTGCAACCAATTTCACCCAGTCAGGACCAGAAACCTCCAAGAAACCAGTGCAACATGATGTAAAAAACTAGGGTTTGGCAATGGAACAGATGCCTTTCTATTTCTATATAATTTTTCAAATTTCAGTTCAGCCGCAGTTCTATTTGTGGTGATTTCTTTTTGTATGAGTTTTGTAGTTTATTTTGCTAATTTAATCTGCCTCCTTGAAAAATTTAATTGCTAACTAATTTGTGCTATTCCTGATGTACTGCCTCTTTCCTTTTTGTTATGTTGTGTTACATCGAGGGTTAATGTGCGATTTCAAAGGTGGGGTAACCCTCAGCTGTAGCACTTCAGCGATGGAATAACTTAGAAATACGTCACGTAAGAATTCCTGTTGTTAGCTCCAGTAGAGTTTACTTTGTGTCCAGAATATGACCAGTTGCTTACTGGTCTTTGTGGATTTAGGCAGTTGAATATAGAAAGATATGAGCAAACCCCTAGACACAATAAAGCTAGTATATAAGGTCAAATTCAGTGAATGAATCTAAACAGCATCATCCCCTTAAATTTAATTTAATGTCGACCACCCTTGACACTCTTAACTTCCCAGTGACCATGCACACCACAGCCTGCTCTGCACCATCCAGCATATCACAATCCTGTAAACTTTACAACAATGCAAATTAACCACTTTAACCTGTAAATTAAACCAATTTTCAAAGAGTTTGAAAGACACTTCACAAAAAGATAATTCAGAAACATGTCATGTATAGATCCAATATCTTTTCTGATCACAAGTTGTTGACTTTACACCTGTTTCTTTCTGCTCTATAAAGTTTGATGTAAATTGGATTTTGTGAAATGACGATGGATAAAACTCACTCCTCCAAGGGAATCAAAACACAAATTTTTCCACTGTGGAAAAGTCAGTAACCATAGCTACTCTGTGATTGACACACAGCCCACTTCAGTGTTTATCAGTAACCATGTTTTGCTTCAGAGTTAATTCTCAACCACTGTCGCTTAGGGAAGTATTTGCAAAAAGGCAATGTGATACAACAGACAAAGGACTGTAAAATAAACCAATAGGCTGTCAAGTTAACAAAGTTAACACAACAGGAAGTCATATAGTTGCCCTGGAGAACAAATGCACCTGAGCCCACAACACACAAGTTTTAAGGTGACGACCAGGGTTTTGACACTTCATACTCCTGTGGACAACCATCAGCTGAACGACACGCTGCACACTCTCAAATTTTGAAAAATCATGGGCTGCAACACAAGTAGGGGGGCCACAGTGGTTGACCCTTCTGAAAAGCCAGAGGACAGGCCGAAAACTGCCACTTCCACCAAGCAGGCGCCTGCAGAGGAAACGAATGGAACAAAAGAAAAAGATGAAAAAACGAAGAGTTCCAGCTGAGCGCCACCTTTACACCGAACCTAACTCTTCTTCTTGTAAGACCATTTTCTCCTTAAATGTTATTCATAATCTGCCTTTAAGATTTTTAGTTATTACCTGACTACGTCCTTTCATTCTCCTTTTAGTTCTATCAATGAACAAGGATACAGCACCTCTCTGTAAAGTAAGCAATTTATGACCATTGCATAGGGGTCACTTTGACACAATTACCTCTGTAACTTGACCGCCGTGTCTTTCTGAAGCAGTTTGACGTGACAAATGGGCTGCGTGGTGACTGAGAAGGGTTCTGTTGTGTCTGTGTTGCTGTGTGCACAGATTGGCCTGTCCGAGGGTGAAGGAGGACCTGTAAGCAGGATGAGGCGACGCTGCACTACTGTCCATCAACGTCTGTCATCTGGGCCAGGCACACATAATCAAATACGCACACTTCCGAAGAAATCCGACTCCTATTGTCAAAGTCTAGAAACTATTTTGTGATAAATACATCGTTTGGAGTATTACATTGTGTTGTCTTGAACCTTTATGTTCTTTTTTTAGGCGTCATTTCCTACGGCGTACCTTGCTTTGTTTTTTCACAATCATTTATTTTCATTCTCTTCTCCTCCTCCTCTTTACTTGCACTCACACACCTCTGGTCAGGGCTGATAGTTACAACGCTCTCTTTTAAATGCTTCCAATACTGCTGTAGGCTAAAGCAGCAACTCTTTAAGACAGTCAACTTATGTGCTAGCTCTGTGTACCTTGCAGCTCTCAGCTAGATGGGATGCTCTGCATATGAGAGGGCTGCTACCGGTGTTCATTTGGACAGTCTTTATACAACAAATAACAAACTGCTGCCAAGAGCTGGATTGAGAAGACCTTCCAGAACTTTATGTTCCTTGCCACCAGGGGGCATAGAGAAAGGGGAAACGGTTCCCTTTGCCTCCACCAGGGAGCAGGAGCGATCTTCCCCCGCTGCTGTGAGACGTCTGAGGCTGGTTCCATTTGCTGAAGACATTTAATCTGAAATATAGGTTGTAAGTTTATTACCAGTGAATGGAGCTGGAATGGAATAGCCATTTTACAAAGCCATATCAAAAATACCCATCTCAGAGGCAGTGGGAAATTACATGAAAATATTACCATTATACAAATGGAAAGTGTGATTGAATAATGTGCCGGAGAAGATAAATGAAAAGCACTTTGTTGGAAAACGTGGTACTAAATAGGTTTTTAATTTCAGTAGTGGGATAAAAGAAGCGCATTTTTACCCCATTTCACTGCCAATTGATTAGTGGCTCCACACCTGCAGATAAAGAGGGGGCCTTATCGTCTCATTATCAGTTAATTAATATGCATGCACACATGCCAATTATCTTTCCTCTGCCATTTAGCAGAAATGAGACATTGATGTTTTAATGGTGCCGGAATGGATAACTCCTCTGTTGCTTTAAAGACAAGGCAGGCACATTGATTGACATAGCTGGGAAATGTTAAGAGAGACAATTGAATTAAGAGCAACCTGAAACGCTTGATTATTATATTAATACTTTTCAACAGCCATTTGCTGTTGCTTTCCAGGGGCTGTGAGATCAAGCGGAGTTTTTGATTAACTCTCTTGTGAAAGATACAAAGAGGGCAAAGCTTATGGTGCAGTCTATGTATATATATCTACCAATGAGAATCCATTATGGAAATATTTTATTTGAAGGACATGCAGAATAGCAAGCCATTACATTTTTCCACTGTGCCATGACTATAAAAAAGCTCAAGGCCACACCAAGTGAAGCAAACCCAAGATGAAAGTTATATTAATCATTGCTCGGTTTAGTATACTATGTGCACTGAATTTATGTTCATGAGTCACAGGCCAGTGTTATGTGCCGGAGAAATAGGCAATATTATGGAAGGAAGCACTATTGACATTTTTCATTTCTGCATAAATGCTTGTGGTTGCACACTGTGCCCAAGGCTGTTAGCTTTTTTTTAATCAGTGCTCTTTAAGCTCAATGCAACAATGCTAGAATGTTGGAGGTATTGCGATTAGAAAAAAATAGAGCTAGAGAGACTGCAAAGTCTTTCGGTTAAATCCAAATCTAGGATCTGTGATTTTTACACACATAAAAAAAATCACAGAGGACAAACTCATGCCACTGGAGGCAGCTGCTCACACAACTGCGAAAAAATGAGAAGGGCAAGTTAAAAAAAAGTCTTTGGTTTGTAAGTGCCTTACTAAGTAATAGACCATTTATATGATATGTATAATACCCTGCAACAAATATTCACAAGTAGTGGTGTTATTTTCAGCCAGCCTCTCTTTAAAGATGTGTTCTTCACAGGGTATCTTTTGTGAATATATGATCAGAGGCACGACAGCCCCGGTCTTTAATCTTACACTGGCCTTGAAGAATGTCACTGATTCCAACCAGCCTGCACCCTCCTCCTCCTCCTACACCCCCACAACTGCAGGCTACAGAGACCATCCTATTCACAGTGTGGTGCAAGAACATGTTTCTGGTTGTTTAGAGGGCTATGGCTTTCTTTATTTTGTGTTTTCAAAAAAAAGAGAAAAAAAAAAAAACATTGTTAAGAACTTGTCACAACCATCTGATCCCAGAGGCCTTTGGAGTGCTGGTTTGTAAACAGCTGATTGTATAAAAATAGCTAAGACGTTCTCAATGAGCAACCCACTTTGACTTCATATCAGAAATATAACACGTTTTTGGTTTAATCTATATTTGAAGACGTAACATAGACCCCCAACACTGGTACATTTGGCATACACAAAAAAACAAAACAATAATTTTTCTCCAAGTATAATAAAGCTAGAAGTCTCCGGGTCTGACATCTATCTGTTCGTGTGTCCCAAATTGCTCCGCTTGATAATGCCCACAGAAACAAGTGTGAAGAGAAAAAGCTGCAACCATGAATTGTAGAAGTTTGGGAACTAGAACTAAAGTTGGGAAAACGCTCAGAAATAATGCCAACATAGTTTTTGAATCAATCAACTGTATTTCAAGGCATCAAACGTGGTGGTGGATGAATTTATACATTTAGGATGTCACAGTGCCTCATTATGTGATACCAGACGTAAACAAGGATGTTTAAAAGAAGTGCTTTTGTTGTTTGTTTGTTTGTTTTTTACTGTGGTTGAATCTTTGGTTCAACATATCTAAACGAGGTAGTGCATATTATCATATGAAAGCACAAGTCCTCTCAGGTTCTTTAGCCAATATATCACTGTGTTGGTTATATCAAGCTATGAGATCTCTTACAGATGAGGCAAATATTACTATTACACTTCCACTTAAATACAAAAAACCAAAAACTATTTTCTCTCAAATATGTTTAAACTAGTAAAGGTGACTCATAAACTATTCTCCAAACCTCTTATAAAGGAGAAAAATTGAACACTGGAGTCCAATTTTGGGGAAGATGGCTTCCTAACTCATTTGATGTTTGCTGGTGATAGTTCAATATTCACAGACACGGACACCCCTTTTGGAATCGCTATGATACTCATACTCATGCATACTCATACAGGCTAAAGTCCAATTCACTTCTGCTCTATTCAGTTTTATTTATGCAGTGCCAAATCACAACAACCATCTTCTCAAGGCTCAGGTTCACAAATTCAAGTACTTGGGATCATGGGCTGATACCGTTCAAGCTCCCTTGGTGCAAAAGACCAGCCTAACAGAAGTTGCAAAAGTCGGCGTTAAAGACAACGTGAGAAACCACATTAAGGAAGATATCAAAAATTGATGATTGACCATTAAGGAAGCTTGCACCATAGCCACCGATTGCAGGAAGTAGAAGCAGATCATAAATGAGGTCCTGAGTGCATCGGCTCTAAAGGACAAAAGAAGAAGAGTTGTTGAGAAACATGTTATTTTATAGAGAAATAATGTTTGGTAGCAAACCCCCATTCTATCGGTTTTCAAACCTTTTGTGGCAAATGCACATCAAGGTGCAAGTAAATATTTCAAGGTACATAAATGCACACAAAATTGCATGTATGTCATCTGACACTCATGAGTTGGTGGTGCTTGTTTAAAGGATGCAAAAGTGGGCTGTCAAATATGCCACTGTCTCACAATACAAACATTATCACACCTGCAAATTTTAATTCCTGTAACAGCTCCATTTGGATATAACTTGCTTCCATCACCTTATATTTTTAAAAGCATTTTTTGTTGTTGTTTTTTAATGGGGAAATGAGTATATTTGAAGAGCTGACACATTAAATTAACAGTTCATTTACAACATTTTCTGCAGTTGTTTCTTTTTTAAATACTAAGATATGGTTGTCTCAAATTCCATGGCACCCTTCTGCTCAGTCAAGAGCACACTATTCAGAAACAAAGTGGAACTAAATTGGAATTCCACAACAAGCAGCTTCAGAAAAGTCCAACATTTTCTTCTCATCCATTTTTGTTTTCTTTTCGCTGCAGGTTTTGGGTCCTGCAAGAGCAACTATACTTTGAGTTTGGGATCTCCCTCTGTCTTCTTTCATTAAATCTACTTTATGTGACAAATGGTGCAAAAAATAAATTATTATGTCATGATCTTGGAGGTCAGTCTTCATCCATTTTGCAAATTTTCTTTCATAGGAATTAAGAGGAGCCAGGTGCTGTTACTCAAATGCACGTAATTAACTGATCATCAGCAAGTGTGACCACCTCTATATCAGACGTTTTGGCAGTTTGTAGGTCTGGAGCAGTCAGGAGGGTTTTAACACAATGCCAAGGAGGATGGACATCAGCAATGATCTTTAAAAAGCAACTGTTGCTCCCCACCAATCTGGGAAGTGTTGTAAAGCCATTTCCAAACAATTTAAAGTTCATTATTTTACTGTGCGAAAGATTATTCACGAGCGGAAACCATTCAGGACAGCCAATCTTCCCAGGAGTGGACTTCCCAGTGAATTTAACCCAAGGCTGTAATGGTCAAAGAACAAAAACCTAGCATGCTAGTATATTAAATATCACAGTTAATGATAGTATAATTAGAAAAAGCCTGTTTAGAATGGTTGCCAGGAGAAAAAAAAAGAAAATGATTGCATCTGAACAAAACTTAAGTCCTTTAAAACAACAGCCTTTGGACAGATGAGACCAAAGTGGAAATATTTGGTGAAATCCAAACATACCATATCAACACAAAGCCTTCATACCAACTCTCAAGCACAGTGGTGGAGAGGGTAATGATTTGAGCTTATTTTGCTGCAATGACTGCAAGGACCTGGGCACCTTGCAGTCATTGAGTCGACCATGAACTCTTCTGTACACCAGAGCACTGTAGAGTCAAATGTCAGGCCATCTGTCCAACAGCTAAAGATTGGTCAACTTTGGGTCGTGCAACAGGACAGAGATTCCAAGCACAGTAGCAAATCGACAACAGAATGACTAAATGCTGTATTTGACCTCAACAGAGCTGTGCCTAAATAAATCCCTGCAAACCT